ACATTTAAAGACAAAATAATCAGACATTTTCATGCAGTCTTATGTAATGATGTGCAATTTAGACCTAATCCTTTTAGCCCAGAGATGGCAGACTGACACTCTAAACAAAACTCATTGTGTTCTTTTGTGCTATCATAACAAGGTATTTAAAGGATGAAATACTGGCTTGCAGATGGATTTCCTGGCATCACTAGACATGCATCACAGAAATTGTTTTGTTTCAGAGGATTTAAACAAGATGCTTGACATTTCTAAGGACTTATTTCCACTTGTAAATGGGGTAACTTGTTAGGTGGTGGTGTTAATGGACAATACCAAAGGTTTTTAGAGCTTGTGTCCTGCTTATAATTTTGTGTGATGTATAGAAAGTGAATTTGCTGAAACACATCCTAACTCAGAGTCTAGGTATTTGGTCTTGGTATGTAATATTCCTATAGCTCCCCTCATCCACACACGGGACTTCTCTGTGTCCTGTGACACAATTTATGGAAACACTCTACTATATACCCTAACTAACAGGAACAGAGAAGAACACTCAGCTGTATATTTGTGTGGCCAGATTTGCTCCCTGCAACTGAGTACCTGAAGAGCATCCATAGTTCTTTAGGATGGAGAAGTTTACTTCCTTTCCATGTGTTACTTGAGCTGCTACAGGTTATCATAATGCCACATATTCTTGGAGTAAGGGAACTTGATTATCATTCAAAAATGCAAATGAAAACTCTGATAATGTAGGAATCTTCCCTATGCCTAGAATAATCAAAAAATGAATAGGGCCAAGAGAACATAAGGGTCAACCTTTTGCTTTTAGACAAGTGACTGCTTGTATCACCCAAGGTACCAGTAGTGTTGATTCCTTTTCTTGAAAATCTCAGGGGTGGAGCCCTCACATGGTGTTTTACTAGTGTTAGCATAAACCACAGAACTTCTTTTCTTTTCCTACAAAAATTCATTATTTCAGCAAACCCTCAAGGAGTATCCCCTGTGTATCTGTTATTAACATAAAGACTGGTGATACAAGAGAAAGCAAGACAGCAAGGCCCCTTTGGTGGGTTTTAAAAAATGGCTGCAAAATTCTTACAATACTCTTCACACTGAGAAAGGAGTATACATTCCCTCACTTTGAATGTGGGTGGGTTTGTAACTACTTTGACTATAGAATAAGGAGAAATGATGTTACGTGATCTCTGAGACCAGGTCGTAAAAGGTGATACATCTTTTACCTCACTCATGAGAACATTTATACTTGGGGCCCTGAGTAGTCATTTAAAGAAGTCCAACTACCCAAAGTTACCAAGGTGTGAGCAAGCCAAGCTATATGTACATGCCGCAGGTGACAATAAAGCTGAGCTACCAGCTAACAGCTGGCTTCAACTGCCAGACATGAGAATGAGCTTTCTTTGACATTTAGCCCGGTTGAGTCTTCATATAACCAATATAGTTCTGGGCCATATTTGACAATGACTACAAGGGTGGCTCCAGGTAGGATCTGCCGAACTGAGCATTCCTGAAAATTACTGTCAGACAAAATCATGAACAAAAGGAAATGAATGTATGTTTTACATGGATTTGCTATCTAGCAAGAGGAACAGATTTTGTTACCTGGACATGGGTGTTACCAGGATCAGTGAGCCTCAAAGTGGCAGTCAGTGAAGACCTAAAGGAGGGTGAATGGAATGGTATTGGGGCTAGAATATAGGAGATCTTTGATATATAGTGATAGAAAGTTTGGGAAAACTGTCACTTACAAAATGTATCTAGTGAACTAACTGATCTGGCTAAGGATATTTCTATGCTAAATATTAAAAGTGACAACTAATCTCTTTCACTATATATCATAAAATAAAGAGATATGAGCTAAAGAAGAAATTACCCCATTTTTAAGCACAATATAGGATGAATAAAAATGGCCCTTAATTTGCTAGTTTCAAAAATAAAATATTTCTCTTCCCTAATTTCTCCCTGAAGAAGACTCTCAAAAATAAGAAAGAACCTCCAGGGAAAGATCAAATCCAGAGTGCTGTCAAGAAATGTGGTCTTACAGTAAACATGAAACAAAATGTGTGGTTGTAAAACCCTTTCTTAAGAATTGAAATATTTAAGGGGATTTCTCATAGACCTTTTCAGAAAGTCTTTACAGATTTTCAGGATATGTCTCCCAGACCCTCTATGTTCAATTAACGATAACTTTTCTAAGAATCTTAAAGGAATAGGTCCCCAGTAGCCCCATAAGGAACTCGAGGTAGAGATCTACTCTGAGGTCAATATTCCAGTTTTTGTATAGGGACATAGTGTTCAAGATTGAATATTTTAAGCAAAAATCAAGGTATCAAATCATTATATAAGCCAAAATCATGCCGAGTTACAGATGAGAGGTATTTTTTCAGAGGTTTACCTCAATAAACTCTAAAATAGAACTTTTTTTTTTTCTAATGGGAAGTGTATATGTGGCCATTGTGCTTTTGCATTTTACCAAGCTCTATTGAGTCCCTCAGATGTAGGACATCTACTTTTGAAGCAGGCATTAAGCATGCATTGGAATTCCCTACTAAAGGTGGCTAACCTGTTAACCATACACTAGATACATTCTCAGGCAGTCTGATTTTGGGGAACAGACAGAAGGATTTTGAGTTTGAAGACAGCATGCTGGGTTGCAGTGGTGGCAGGTTTCAGAGGTGGAGATGTGAAGATTAAAAGGAATTTTATGGACTTGGCATTAGGAGGTACACGTGATCTCAGTCCTGCCAGAGCTTCACATCTGTGACGAAATACTTGACAGCATCAAATAGTACACTTGATAATGGGGAGAGTTGCTGGGACTCGTATATCCACTTCCCCACCATGCACCAACAGGAAGGAGAAGAGTGCTCTGGAAATGTGTTAATAATAGAGTCTTTTGCAATGAGCCATATGACAAGGTGTTATTGAACAGTTTGGAAAATCACATTCAGTTAAAACGTGTTATTACAAGAGCAACATACAGCAAGGCATTATTAGAGAAGCTTTAGAATTCATGGGAGATCTAAATTCTCCTTGTTAGCAAAGCTTTATTCAAGAAGAGAAGAAAAAGAGGTAACAGATACTGTTGTTACAGAACCCAACCAAATGGCTGAGTTGAGCTGGAGGCCTTAGTTGAGACTTGGGGAGGTGCAGTTGATGGTGCTGGTTTACCAGCCTTCCTAGTAAATCGGCGGCCCTGAAAGTAAGGTGCCACAGAATGGTTTCCAACCTTCAGCCCTGGGAAATTCAGGGGAAAAAATGGGAAGCCTGGTAAGAGACTGTGTCCATTAATTTAGTTTTAGTGTATGACATCTGAGCTCAGAGAGAATAGCTGGGACCATCCAAGTACAATCCACTTTTAATGTAGAAGCTACCCATTTATATGGTACTTGTTTAATGCATAAGTCTGCCAGAAAGGAAGGTATCTTCCTCTCCGTTTTTGGAAAAAAAAAAAAAAAATTGGTTATAGAAAAGGTGGGTAGTTTTTTTAGCAAACAACAGTTACCATGGTAAACTTTTCTTAGCCACATAGAAATTAAGATCAGAAAACAAGGAGGAACCAAGGAGATGAGTCATCCCTGCAAGCAAAATTGCCCAATAGATAATTCTGGCCCCTTCTTTGTAGGAGGCAGGGATCATGCATGCAGGGGCTGAAAAGAACAGAAGCTGATGCTTCTCCCTTTGTGTAGGAGTCATTAACCTAGAAGTAAGCCTTGAACTTAAGTGGAAAAGATGATAGAAGACACTGGTGAGAATTTTATATTTTTAGGCCCATATTTGATAATGCTACCATCTTCTAGCTGGGGACAACTGTATAACCCCCAGAAAGCCACATGTCACAGAGATGTCTGCTGATGCAGGGAGACCCAGCTTGATTAGGCTGGGCTGGTGGCAGTACTGTCATGGGTGAGTAGCATTGTGGAGGTGAGTGTGAGAAACTTTCCCAGTATCCTAGGAAACTTTTCCCAGTATCACTAAGATACTGGGAAAGTTTCTCACGCTCACCTCCATGTGACAGGGCAGAGCCAGAAATAAATGTCCCCAGTGCCAGTTCAAGTCCTCAAAGAGGAAAAGAAGTTGTTTGGACTCAAAGGAGGAGTTGGAGTCTTGGATGCTACAAGTAAATTCAGTCTTGTTTGCTTTCCCGTACCTTATGAAGGTTTTTATGGAAGGTGAGTAAGAGACTGCCTTTTCCCTCTCAGGGATGCCCTATACGGTGCTGCCAGGCACTACCTAGATGCCCTTGTTGGCTGGAATCTGGATGCTGATGGCTCACAGCTGTGTCCTCCTTTAGGCATTGTCCTTGGCTCAAGGAAGCTACCTCACCCAAGGTTGCCTTCTTCCTGTGACACAGCACAAATCCAACGTCTGGGCAATGCAGGATGCAAGGGCTTGACCCCCTGGCCTTGATTCAGGACATATCTAAAGATTCCACCTTCAGAGATCCTCATGAGATTCACTGAGGCTGTGGGGATGTTTTTGTAATTACTACCTCACAGGTCAGCTCCTCTTCTCATGTGTCTTGGATTAGTACTAATCCCTAACAAATTAATTTAAATATTTGAGTCCTAGTTTGATGTTAAAACACTTTACTAGATTCTGTAAAAATCAAAATTATGATGTGTCTCTGCCTTCAGGGAGATTTTAATGTATAGAAATGATAAATGACTATAAAATATAATACAAGGCTGCATGGCCTGAGTATAAGGTGCTAAGGCATTCATTCACCAAAGTGTTGGCGCCTACTCTGTGTTTTGTGTAGCAGTATGGTGACAGATAAAATAGGCCCTGCTATTAAGGAATTCAGTGTGCTGGGGGAGGGGAAAATCTATTCTTGACAGGAGTTTCTTCACTGAGGCTCCATTTGTTTGTTTGTTTAAGTCTCCACTAATGTCCAAAAAGGATTTGAGTTGGATCATAAAAAGTAATTAAGTATTTCATGAAGGGTTGGGGTGTGATGGAGTGGGAGCAAAATTCCAGGTTGAAGTACTAACATGAAGGCAGTAAATGGGAGACCATTTTCTCACAGTGGTTTCTGGTAGGGCCTTCAGAGTAGAGAAGTTCAAAGAATGCTTACCTGACAAATGGAATCCGAAGTTGGCAGAGGCCTGAAGACAAAGGTAAGGAATTATGGCTTTGTTTAGTATGAAGCATAAATATTTTTTCTAGTTTATCTCCTATATTTATTTATAACATCATTGTCTATCTCACAGTCTCTGTCTCACATCCTTTCATTGTTTGTTGATAGTGATATCACAGTCCCTATTCTTCATATCCTCGTTTTATGAATTTCACTTTCATTCACTTCTATTCGTCTTCATCCTTGGCCATGTTTGTCATCTCTCTTTAAGAAACAATATGGCGGGGCACCTGGGTGGCTCAGTGGGTTAAAGCCTCTGCCTTTGGCTCAGGTCATGATCTCAGGGTCCTGGGATCGAGCCCTGCATTGGGCTCTCTGCTCAGCGAGAAGCCTGCTTCTTCCTCTCTCTCTGCCTGCTTCTCTGCCTACTTGTGATCTCCGTCTGTCAAATAAATAAATAAAATCTTAAAAAAAAAAAAAAGAAAAGAAACAATATGGCATTTTAAACCACCTAGCTTTGGGGAAAGATGATACACAAGAGTAGACAACTGATAGAGCCTTTGGATTCAGGCACAACAGCCTCACTCAGGTGTGGCCTGGAAAGAGCGCAGCAGAGGCAGTCTTCCCCATTGGCAGAGTTTGGGTTGTGTGCATTGTCATCTATTTTGGGTTGAAAGACCAATATGTTGCTATAAGATTATATATAGATTCACTAGCAGAGACATATGTTTGGATTTGTTGACCAGGGGCTTGAAAGGAGAAAAGTTAGAAAAATGAGACAGAGAAGCCTGGAGAAGAAACTTATGAGCTGGCATGTTAACGTGGGTGTGACATGTGAAAAACTTTGGTTCACATAATCAGTGGACCAGAGAGAGTCTACTAGTGAAGGGGCCCCAAACTTATAGAGTAACTTAGTTGACAATAGCCAGTGTGGGTCAAAATACACCCCAATGTTGTACAAAGGGCTTGTACAGGAGAAGCTATGGAGGCAAGGATGTAGTCTATATGGGCCCAAAAACATGGTTATCAGTCACCAGGTAGACCTAGTACTGCTGCCAATTATCTAAACTGATAGCAGTAACACTAGTGCTGATCTTCTAATAAGGCACCACCCGTGAGGGGACCAACCAGCCAAAGTTGATTACATCGTGTCCATTCCATCTTGGAACGCAGAAATTTATTTCCAGTAGAGTTCTCTATGTGATTGCCTTTCCTGCCCACTAGGCTTATTGGCAGCACCATTATTCAAGGGCAAACAGAATATTTAATCTGCCAACATGTGATCCTACATAAACTGCACTGGAAGAAACAAAGCACTTTCAGCAAATGAGATGTGACAATAGGCACCTGACAATGAGGTTCACTGGTCCTATCATATATCCTATCACTGGATTCTGCTAGTCTGATGGAATGGCTTTTTGAAGGTACACCTAAGGTGGCAACTTGGAAGTTATACTCTACGAGGATATGGTACACATCTTCATTCTCCAGGATGAAGAACACTCCTTAAATCATCAACCATTGTATAATGTTGTGTTCCCTAGAGGGAAAACTACATTCATCTGGCAAGTAAGGGTTGCAAGAATGAGAGACTCTGCTTATCACTCCCAGTGACCCACTTGGGAAATCTATACTTCCTATCCCCACAACTCTAGGTTCTGTGGTTCTAATGGTTATGATTCTCAGAGAAGGGATGCTTCTACAGGAGCTCCACTAAGCTTTAGCTAGGACTGCCCCATGGTTACTTTAAGTTCTTTGTGCCAGGAATCCAGTAGGCCAAAAAAAAAAAAAAAAAAAAAAAAAATCCACATCCTGGCAGGAGTAATTGTCCCTGATCATCAGGAGAAGGTAGGGCTGCTGTTAATAATAGGAGTAGACAAAAATATATTTTGTTACCCAGGTGATTGGCTGGGGAAAGTGGAAGGTGGAAGGGGGCTCTTGGCATTCTCTACACCAATTTTTATGGTAAATAGACATGAGCAAAAGCCACATCCTGAGAAAGTCACAGCAACTAGGGGCCCAGACCTCCTCCTCTCTGAGGGGAGCCTGGATCATTCTGCCAACTAAGTGAGGAAGACCAGCTGATATGATAGTCGAAGGTGAGCAGAATTTAGTAGTTGGGTTAATAGGTGAGGGAGACTCTACATATCAGATGCATCCTGGGGAAGAGCTGCAGGGGACACTGTAACTTGTCCTACTAAACTCCTCATAAAGCTTTCCTAAGAAAGGCTGCCAGTTACAGTCCTGGAGTCATTCCCTTGTGGAGGCAATATACTATATGAAGCAAGTGGAACTGAGCTGTACAGGAATGAATTATAGTGAATGCATTTGGACACTTCTCAGATTCCCCTGCAAAGTCAAGTCTTCATGATCTCAGATGCTGGTAGTGTTTGCTAATGACTTACATTTGCATGCAACTCTGGGAATTGACCTCAAGCTGCCTTGCCCAAGTCTATGCACCTGTTCCTGGCTGCAGCTATATCCAATCATTGATTATTGTGGGCTGTGTTCCCCAATGTGGGACATCTTTGTAGGATCATCTCAGTGATCATTGAGAGATCACTGTGGCATTGACTGTAGCTACTATTTCAACTCTATCTCATTTTAACTTCTCCCTCTGCCTGGTCTCATCTCCCTTGCTCCTTCACAGATACTAAAAGCAATTCCAGTAAATGTCTTGTATGCAAATCCAGGAGGAACTTTACCTGCAAGAGTGGGGTAAATTCATAAACCTAAGTTGCTAGGAAAGGGAGATCCTGAGACCTTCTTTATTCCGATAACCTCCTTAAGGGATTTTGTTAATATGATGCTGACTGTAGAAGATTGTTAAACTCCACATAAAATAAGAATTCAGAATTCAGGGAGCGATTTCATAAGAAGGGAACAAAAATGAAGGAGTAAAAAAAATAAAAAGAGGAAACCTGATGAACATGAGAGTGAAAGCAAGGGAAAGACTTCTTGTTGAAACCAGTGAAGGGACTGAGTTTTGCATCCAGGTTAATGGGAAGAGGTAGGCACATGTAGACATACGATCTTTGCCCCCTCTGCCAACCTGGGGACTTGTATGGATCTTCAAAATCAGGACTTTGATGGGGAGAAAAATCCATGGCAGATAAGTAATTACAAAATACATTTGAGGGGGGTGCCTGGGTAGATCAGTTGGTTAAGCAGCTGTCTTCAACTCGGGTCATGATCTCAGGGTCCTGGGATGGGCCTGTGAGAGGCTCCCTGCTCAGTGGGAAGTCTGCTTGTCCCTCTGCCCCTCCCCCAGCTTGTACACTCTCTCTCTCTCTCTCTCTCTCAAGTAAATAAATAAAATCTTTAAAAGCAAACAAAACAAACAAAAAAACCCCCCAAAACTCAAAATACATTTGATGTAGCAAGTCATATTTTTCTTTTAGGGTTGATTTTTTTTCTTACACTAGTATCTCTTCCTTCCTAAATGTATTCTTTTCTATTTAATTATTTGCTGTTCATTGTGATTTATCAGCAGTTCTATTATAAATTATAGGGGGTAATCTTTGACTTTGCTTTCTCACAAAGGCTACATCAAATACATCTGGAAATTTCACTGGTTCTACATTTAAAGTATCTTCAGAATTTAGAAAGTTCTTCAGACAAAAGGAATATGAGACCAACCATAAACTTGGATATACATCAAGAAATGAAGAAAATTAGAACTGGAATCAAGCAAGGTAACATCAAATTAATTTCTCTTACTTTAATTGCTTCAAAAGATAACTGTCTAAGGCAAAAATAGTAATGTATTATACATTTATCACAAATGTAAATATAAAATGTATGACAACAACAGCAGATGGAAGAGAGGAATTGTGTATATACTATTTTAAGGTCCTTATAATATATACAAAGTGATACATTATTTTAAGGCAGATCCTGACTAATTAAATTGCATACTTAAAAACCTACAGCAACCATTAAAAATTGTATAAAAAGACATATACTCCTATAGTAGAGGTAAACTAAAATTAAAAAAAAAAAAACACTCCATGATTCAAAAGTAGGGGAAAAAAGAGGACAAAAGAAACAAAGGACAGATAGAACGTTAGAGAATAGTTAGCAAGATGATAGAGTTTGACCTAACCACAGACTAATATAATTAAATATAAATAGAATAAACACACTAAAGTCTCAGATTGTCAAACTAGATAAGAAAACAAGATGAAACTATATGCTTCTACAAGAAAACCATTTTAAATGTAGGACATAGTTAAGTTAAAAGTAGAAATAGAAAAAGACATACCATGAAAACACCTAATAACAACAACAAAAAAGCTAGAGTAGCTATGTTATAATGGACAAAGTAGACTTTAAGGAATATTACCAGGGACAAAGAGGGACATTATATAATGTTAAAGAGGTCAGTTCTCCAAGAAAACTTTATAATCCTACATGTGTATGCATCTAACAACAGAATTTCAAAATACATAGAACAAAAAAAAATGATGGTAAGAAAAGAGAAATTCACAGTTATGGTTGGAGATATCAGTACTCCCCTCAGTCATTGATAAGACAAATAGAAAATTAGTAAGTATATAAAACACTAGAACATTATTGAAAAGTTGAGCTAATTAATATTTATAGAACACTCCACTCAACTGTAGAATGCGCATTTTTTCCAAGTTTAAATGGAACGTTCATTAATATAGACCATTTTCTAGGTCATACAACAATCCTTAATACATTAATTTACTTAAGTGAATTAAAATAATATAAAGTGTGCTTCAGACTTTAATAGTTAATCTAAAAATCAGCAACAGAAAGATGTATACGAAGTTCTCAAATATTTGAGAATAAAACTAGTTACTTCTAAATAACCTATGGGTCAAAAGAGGAAATCAGAAGAGAGGTTAGAAAATATTTTGTACTGAATGAAAATAAGATCCAGTGCATCAATTTGTGGGATAGCACTGAAGCAGTGCTTAGAGGGAGATACTTGTATCATTAGATGCGTATAGTAAAAATGCAATCAGAATTTAAATCCTGCTCAGTTCTACTTATGATCTATCACTCTTCTTCACTCGGATTATTGCAAAGCACCTAACTGATTTCCTTACTTCTGCTCTTGCCCACTACAGTCTGTTCTCAATGCAACAGCCAAAGCTGCTGATTTAAATCCCATGTCAGATCATGTCACTCCTAATCCTACGCTAGCTATTCATTTTTCTCAGTGTAAACATGAAAGACTATATGAAGCTAACTTGACATTATATGTTTTGGCCCTTTTACCTCTCTGACCTCATTATTGGTTCTCCTCCCCGACCCCACCAAAGCCAACCTTACTTAACTCCATTCAGCCACACAACTTCCTTGCTTATCTCAAGCATATCAGGCACTGTCTTGGGCATATCTGTCTTGGGCCTATGCACTCGTTGTGCTCTGTCTAGAACAGTCTTCCCTCCAAAAACCACATGGTTAACTCCTTCACTTCCTTCAGTTCTTTTCTTGAGTATGTTCTCCTCAATGAGGACTCTCTTAATCATCCTATTCTAAACTGTAGCCTGCCTCTGTCATTCCTGTAGCACCAATCCTGCCCTGCTTTTTTCCCTCCCCATAGCATTTATCACTTTCTAGCATACTGTGTTATTTTCCTGTTTTGGCTTATTTTTATCATGTGCCCCCCACTAGGAAATAAACCCCACTAGGAAATAAACTATTTTTATACTGGCATATAAAAATGCACTAAGTAAATAATTTGAGGGATTAAGGGGAGGAAGGAGATAGGGACGGGGGATAAGGGAGAAAGATGAAAAAAAAATCAAGGGGGATAATAAATCTTTTATAATTTCAATTTTGCTAATATTTGAAAATAGATGTTATGTTTGAAGTCTTGGTAAACTCCAGCCTACTTGTTATAGAACATACACCTACTCTAAAATATTCAGTGCCAAAAGTTTTCTCTTTCTTGCTTTTTTTTTTTTTAAGATCTTATTTATTTATTTGACAGAGAGAGATCACAAGCAGGCAGAGAGGCAGGCAGAGAGAGGAAGGGAAGCAGGCTCCCTGCTGAGCAGAGAGCCCGATGCGGGACTCGATCCCAGGACCCTGAGATCATGACCTGAGCCGAAGGCAGTGGCCCAACCCACTGAGCCACCCAGGCACCCCGCTTTTTTTTTTTTTTTTAAACCAAGTAAATTTTATTCACAAGTGAGCCATAAAGTATGAACCTTTTTTCCCTCTTAATACTTGTTTATTTCTGTGGTAAGCCCTTTAGAAATCCACTTATGGCAATTTTCATATTTCTTCCCACTTCTCTACAAGAGATTGTATTTTTTTCTGGTTTTTAAGTGCGATGTTTTTGTGAGTAAACATGGGATTCATAAAGGGGTCCAGGTTTGGCTGTGTGTATGTCCACATGCCCGGGAAATTACATTTCAATGTATGTGTGTATTTAGTTAACAGGGGGATCTCCATTCATGTTTTGGTTTTTAAAAAAGTTTGAAATATTCATCGATTGTGTTTATAAGGCAATTTAGAGGTTAAGAATGTGTGCCTTGGAATCAGACTCCTTGAGTGTGATTCCTGGCTCTGCTCCTTACTAGTTGTGCAATTTGAGCATATGACTTACCATTCTGAGCCTCTGTTTCCTGTATAAAATAGGGATGCTAATACTGACTTGGTTTGTTCTTTGTGTGTACAAAAAAAGATAATCCAGACACAAGGCTTAGCAGTGTATATAAAACTTAGTATTCGAATGGCAATTATATCCTTAATATTTGTAAAATCCTATTTTTAAATAAGTTATTTAAAACTTGAAATATTTTCCTTTTACAATGTCATCCATACTGGACGAATTCCCAAACTATATGAGATAGCATGGTGAAAAGTCAAAATATACAAATAAGTTATATCGTACACCTGGATTAACTATATAAAACTGTCCTGTAGAAGGAACTGAACTCCTGTAGAAGAAGGAACAGTCTGTGTTCATTCACTTACTCATTCACTGAACGAACAATTTGCCACACCTTTGTTTTGCTAGATGTGTATTAGTGTTAATTTTCCTCAGCAAAATAGACTCTGAGTTATGAAATCCTCTTGCACAGAAGTGAATGAGACCATGACATTCTCCTGCACAGGGCTCATCCTTTAACGTGTCAGGACCTCCTTACCTCCACCATTAGAAATAGTTCCATGACTTTAGCAAGACCTATTAGCTCAGGGTTATTTCTCAGATTCAGGCTCATTAACCCTATTTGTTTTCTACCAACAATATTTTTACTACTACTAACTTTCTCCCTACCTCCATCTTGATCTACATAAGCTAGTTGAGTTTCAATTTCTCTCCAAAGTTAAATGTCCCAAGACAAAATGCTGTATCTTTTTTTATTAGCAGCAATGGGGTCTGAGGCATGGGCCAATAATAAAAAGAGATTACAACTCAAAATATTCCCTCCCCCCAACCCTCAAAAATCAATTGTACTTGTAGTGTAAAACAATCTAGGTCCCGAAGCTTACAGTTTTTCCCTGATTTTAACTAAAACTACATTTGTGTTCTTGAAACTCCTCTGCTGTATAAATGACAGATTCCATTTCATAAAGTTTGCCCACAAGTTGGTTTTAGTTGTTAAAATTAGTTGTTAAACTTACCAAAAATTATTGACTTTGAGACAAGATTAGGTTTTGATTTCTTTAAAAGGGCCAAATTGGCAGTTTTTCATTGGCATCACTTTCCAGACAATAATAAACTCACATGCTATTTAAGTCTGCTTCAAAAATGGAATGCTATATACAAGTATGTGTTTATCAGTGTGGGAAGGGATTTTGCTTATTCTGAGAGTCTAGAACCAGTTGAAACTACACTAGAATGTTGTTGGGATGTCTATCAGCATTTCACCATCTCTCAATCACCCTGTGTTTTTCTGTCTAAAACAGAATATGTTTTCATCTCTTAGATCTTGAAAATTTAACTTAGAATCACTTCACTGGCTCTGTAAAGAAGCGAAACAAAGCTGTATTCAGCTTTTCATTATGTTTCAATTAATTATGATCCTTGGAACAATTTGGGCACAAGAATTTCAGCTGTCAAATTTGCCTTCTGGGATGCTTTTCTTCCACAGATTAGTGTTTCTCAAAAGCATCCCATAAAAATAATGACCCTGACATTCTTGACAAACAAAGCATCTCCTTTTTCTTTCAACAGTTCTCTTTGAGCTAGGAGATACAATTTTACATCTATAATTACATAGCAAACTCTTATTTCAAAAACACTTTTAAAAACTGGCATTCTGTGTCCTGCAGATGATGAAACTCAGGCTCTGTTTTTGAGGAACGTATACTTTGTGAATGATTAAAAAAAAATCACAGAAACTGGGCCGATGGCCAGATATAAGTGATAAATTTTTAGGCAGTTATTAAAATGTTTGCCTTTCAATGCAGTTATTTGGAAAAGGAAGCCATGCCCATTGGAACCACCTATCAAACTTATCCTATTATTTGCTGCCACAGCTATCATTAATAACATGTGAGAGGAGCTTCATCTCTATATAAACAGCTGGAAAATCAACAGATAGTATTCATTCACCAGATGTTTTTTGAATATCTGTGTGTACAAAGCTCTGTACTGTGTCTCATATAGGTAGAAAATATGAGACATGACTTCCTCAAGGATTTTATAAGTAAATAAGGGAGAAGAGACATTTATATAATTAACTATATCATAAGGAAGAATGAT